TTTTTCCCCCACTACGTCGAAAAGTCACGTGAAATTGCACCTTTAGGCCTGAGCTGACCGCCATATTGGCGTCATTTCGAGCACGCTTTATTCCACGAGTGTCCCGACCTGTGTATAAGACCGTGGCTCGAGCTGTAGCATGTCCTACTGTATTCATTGGCTGCGTTCGGCAGGAAAAGCTGCTTTGCAACTGTTGTAAAATTCGTGAATCTGATTGGTGTGTTCTCTCAATCTTGTGTGAATTTAAGAGCATACGCCAATCAGATTCATGAATTTTACAACAGTTGCAAAGCAGCTTTTTCTGCCGAACGTAGCCATTGTCTGCATTGGCTGCTGGCATGCTATCGAGAGAAAGGATAGTCGGATAGGATATTTTTCTATAGGATAGTGTTCCAATTACTGAAAATTTTTGTGTATTGTAACATACGCAAAATTTACATACACAAAAATCTTTAATAATTGAAGCACTGTTGCAACAGCATATTCCTGAGACCAAATCAAGTCAGAAAGTCCTGTACTACTTTTCCCTCCGACAAACAGTTATCGAGATATCATAAGCATTGAAAAAGTTATACATTTTCTCTTGAATATCTCAAACGGTGTTAGGCAAATTAAAAAATGTTTCGAACAAAAGTTGTTCATATTAATCATACCAACTTTTGTTTGAAAAGTTTTTCCGTATCTTTCATATTTTTGGAGATATTTGCGTGGATCATTTAAAATGAGACACCCTGTATGACTCTTATTTAGATCATAGAATATATATTATACCTGAGGTTTTCTATAAATAAAATAATTTTCCGTATCAGACACACAGATTCCTGTCAAAACACTTGTTCTTGTTCCCCGTAATTCTTTAGGATTAACACCGGCATCAATAATTGCTTCATAAGTATGCTCAAGGAACATTCTGGCCGAAGGGTCCATCATGTGAGCTTCTGCAGCAGGTATGTTGAAGAATTCCGAATCAAACTTTTCTAAGTTGTTGAGTTTACCGATTCGATGACACATATTATAACCTATATAAAAATTTATATGTTTCATAAGAATGTTTTATAAATGCACATTAAATATTGACTTCTTTCTAGGATAATAAATGCGCTAAAATGTTTTAAAATTTTTGCAATATAGTACAATTATATCATTTTAAATTAAAATAATAAAACGACAAAAATATAATTATACGTAATTTGATATAATTTTGTATAACTTGATCTACATTTTTTCCCTGGGATTGTTGTCTTTATGTGCTCCCTAAGTTATGTAGCAGTTACGTTACGGTTTGCTGGGATCTCAAGTTATTTATAAAAAAATATTAAACTAGATATTACGAATTACACTTAATCAAATATACAATGGTGTACAGAATACGAAATTTTTTTCCATAAATATGTATATAATATATTGATTTTATCATGAGTTTATTACAATTATTCCACCGTCCATGATTACTCGAACCAAGATCCACCTTGTTCGAAAGATTTTCTTGAAACTCTTTTAAATTGTTTGTGTCAGGAAATCGACCAGCAATACCAGAGATAACGATTTCTTCTCCATCATCCATATTGAGACGTGAGTTAGTTTGATTCATGGTGCTCATATTTCATCGAAAGAGTTGATCCTAGAACGAGACACAATTATTCAGGTTATTGACGTAACGCGTTACTTGTAACACCGTTGCCGTAACAAGTTACTTTTTTTGGTAACGGACTGGTAACGACGTTACTTTCTTTTAATAACTGTAATTAGAAGTCTAGTCGTGTAGACTAATTAGTCGTATTCTTATTAGTTTTGAATTAATAAAAATGCTAATATCTTGATGTGTTAGCGCACTAATACCATTGCATCGTTCTAAATATGAGCTAATGTTTGTAAGATACATACTATTATAGATGAACAGATAAAAGTAATGCTTCTGAATGTTAATACTTACCGCATATAGTGAGCGAAACAAACTTACTCTTATTTCCACGTGGAGTGTTCCAGCGTTTAAATGTTACGCTTAAAACTAGATAAATCAATGAGAGAAAGGACAATACTTCGCACTATGTGTATCTCATAGACATAAGAACTTTCACAGTAACAACGGATTGACTGACTTTCTACTTCTGATAATATCTCTTGTCCGGGGATCTTCATATATCAATTGATTTCATGCTTAAAACTAGATGAATCGATGAGAGAAAGAACAATACTTCGCACTATGTATATCTCATAGACATAAGAACTTTCACAGTAACAACTGATTGACTGACTTTCTACTTCTGATCACATCCCTCGTCCGGGGATCCTTATATGTATATCATAATTGATTTCTTCCTTGCCCCTCCAATGGCTCATCCAGAATTCGAGCATTTATAATATTACAAATAAAAGGATGTACATTTAATTTATACTTGTAATAACAATATTATTCGTTAATATTAATAATTATAATGTGATACATTTATTTTAAATTTTAACAATAATTTTATATAAAGTATAGTTTTATGTAACACATTGCACGCGCTTTCCTATCCACCATCATTAAATGAATAAAATACACATTAAAATAAATAAAGGG